TTAAAAGACAAAAACATTCACAATTGTAATTAAAAGTCAGTACTATCAAACTGGTTACAAAAAGAGATGGAAAGAAATTTTTTACGTTATCAGTATTCAATATAATTAATTTATTGATTGTATAAATTTTAATATAATTAAATAAATAATAAAAATATAAATTTTTTTGATAAAATAAATATAATTATAAATATTTGTTGATGGATGGTTTTGTAAAAGGTCAAACTTGGACTCAGGCCCAACGGTATCTAATGTTACAGTACATAGCTGCATCGTAAAAAATACATAAGGAAGTCTCTTTACTTTATTATTTTCTTACTTATTAAATTTCATCATTTTCATCAACTGATCACTATTCCTTTATGCAGGTTATCAATAAACCCATGAATCTAAGCTCATGGGGATATTCGGAATAAATTATGGAAGTAATGGCTTGGCAGGTATGGGTGGGTGAATGTTGCTTGTCTGGCGAAGTGAGGTATTTGCGCTAGTGAAGCTTGGTGCTGGCGATGTTGCTTGACTTCGCCAAAAAGGGCTAGGTGCGAAGACGTGGAGGCAGACTTGATCCCCAAAATAGTACCATTTGATGCTAACTAAAAGCTTAAAATCCTCTTCAAAACCAACCAGAGATACTGCCTTGGTCACCATCAACAATTTGTAGCTGTATTCAATGCAAAGGTTAGTTGCACAAGTTACAATGCATGGGAAACTTTGAAAAAGATCACAATTTGCTTGGGGAATCTTCCAAAATCCTAGGCAACCCTTGGGAATCTACCAACATTCTGGCCAAATTTGATTTTGCTAGCTGCACTCAAATACCCCCCTAAAAATGGAATTTCGTATGGTTGGAAGAATTACCAAAAATAAGTAGTTCCCAGTCTTTCGCCAGAACCAATGAAGTTTAGCCAAAACCAACGAAGTTTCGCCAAAACCATTAGATAATTCATAATATCATTGGCAACAAGTTGTCAACAATGCCCAGGGCCAGTCAAAACTTGATAGCTCACCCAAATCTACTCATTAGGCCACTATATGCCTCTGACCGATCAACCATAAATTACAAAAAATGTCACTGCACGTATATATATTATTTTGGCAAAACCATAAGTTAAGCCCCTGAACCAACCCCAGAATCGCAATTAAGCCCCTAGACTTTAATTGAAGCAGATAAGCCCCTGAACTCTACGATCGGTGCAATTTAGCCCTTCTTCTTACGGCCAACTTAACTACTGTTAGGACCTCGCTTGCGTGGCAACATTTTGCCATGTCATGCCTATGTGGCAAGTGATTTAGCATTTGGACGGGATTTTTGCCTCCATTTAGTCCATTTGACACAAAAGTTTCCCAAAAACAAAAGAAAGTGTCTTGTATATTCAAAAATACTTTCTGAAAAGGTGCAGACAAAGACATAGAAACACATAGAAAGACATAGAAGGGACCACTAAGGACGACCAGACCAGACTTGGAAGAATCTTCTTCAATATCGAGTTGATCTCATCCATAAGAGGTTGGTGGACTTCATTACTCAACCATTGAATAAGTTTTAAAGCACATGGGGTGAAATGGGTATTAGAGTTTTATTCATCTATTAATCTAAACTTTGAGATTTAAGTATGTGATTAATGATTAATTTACTATTATGTGGGTCTAAGGGCTTTGGGTTTTGTACGGACATGCAAAAGGGACTAGATGGGGAGTTTGGGGTGAAATCCATGAATTTGTAGTTATATTTAACAATATTATGGATGATTCATTTATTGTTTTATTGTTTTTTTGTCATTTAAAAACAACAATGTCGGATGATGATGCAGCATTTAAGATCTGTATCCATTATGCTGGACATGTTAGAAGAGATGTTTCACGTTATGTTGGAGGTGAAACTTGTGATTTAGGAGTTAATGACATTGACAAGCTATGCTATTTTGATATCATCGATAAACTAAATGAGATCGGGATTCAGTTAGTAAAGGCATTGTATTACAAAGTTCCTGACCTGCCTTTTGCTAGTGGTTTACTGCCTTTAAATGGTGATGTAGAGATAATTGAGGTTGCAAAAATATTAATGGAGTTAGGAATTTGCCATGTATATGTAGAGCATGACAGCTCTAACATGCAAGGAGAAATTGGAGTACAAACTTCAGTAAGGCCTTTTTTTTATGACGTAAATATTGATGCTGGTGAAGGGTCAAGTAGAACGCATCCTAGGCATGGCAAAATGGTTTTATTTCAGCATGACATGCTAGGAAGTGACGTGGATGATGATGAGCTGATGGCTGGTATTGAGAAAATGAATCAAAGATATGTTGATTTTGAGACTTCCAATTTTGCAGCAAGTAAAGCAATTGAAAAAGGCAAACAAAAAGTGATAGACGTGTCTAAAGGAAAGAAGAACTTGAATCCATTTTCAAATTCCACTGATGCAAACCAGGCTTCAAAAGGGATTGTGATAAGAGATGTTGAAGGTGAAGGCCCTAGATTTGTTGCAAATTCTAATTTGGAGAATAGTGATTCTGACTTTAGTGACAGGGACAGTGAATATGTTGATAGTAGTGATCCTGGTAGCTACTATAGTGATAGCTCGATTGAGGACTTGGACTCATTTGTGAAAGATGATGCACTGAGAACTGCAAGTAGTCACCTTCATTATGATCCCAACTGTGAAATTCCACACTTTGAAGTTGGAATGGTTTTTAAAAATGCAATTCAATTTAAAGAAGCCATTGCCAAATACTCTGTTAAAAAAGGATGCAATCTCCATTGGAAGAAGAATGAACCGGGAAGATAACGGTATGCTTGTGATGTTAAGAATGGGTGTTCTTGGGAAATTTATGTTGGTTTTGAAAGTGCTAACAACTGTTTCAAGATTAAAACATATTATAGAAAGCATGCATGCTTCAAAACTAATAAGAATAGACTAGTGACACAACCATTCTTAGCAAATGCATTAAGGACATTAGTGACAAATGCTCCACACTTAACTGGTAGACAGCTTGCTAAGCATGTGAAGTCTGAAATGGAAGTTGATGTTTCTATATACAAGTGTCAAAGGGCTAAGAAAATTATTAAAGATGAGCTACATGGGAGTTACATTGAACAGTATAAGCTGTTGAGAGGTTATGGTGAGCATATGCTATCTACAAATCCTGGGTCTGCATGTGTTATTGGTACACAAAACTGTCCAAATGTTATGTATCAATTCAAGAGAATATACATGTGTTTTGATGGCTGTAAAAGAGGTTGGAAAGCTGGGTGCAGACCAATTATTGGGGTGGATGGTTCTTTTTTAAAAGGTCCCTGTAAAGGTATATTATTATCTGCCATAGGGAGAGATGGGAATAATCAAATGTTCCCATTAGCTTGGGCTGTGGTTGACACCGAAAACAAAGACAATTGGTAGTGGTTCATGGAGTTATTGAATATTGACATCGAATTTGGTGAAGGAATGGGTTTAACAATAATATCAGACATGCACCAGGTATTAACTGGTAATTTGTACTTAATGATGCATATTTTATTCCATTAACTAGTTAATTATGTCTTGACTTATTTTAACCTGCTTTTAGGGAATAATATCAGCAAGGGAAGCT